ACAGCCACTATTTACACTGGTGTATATTTTGTAGTCGTATCAGATGGTACCGCAACCGTATCAGATGGTACTGCAACCATTTCAACCGCAGCTAAGTTAGACGCCACCTCTTCCATATCAGATGCCATCACACCCATATCAGATGCCACCGCAGCCGGGTCAAATTCCACCATCGCGGGGTTTTATGACCCCTATTGGCAGATATTATACTTTCATGCTTGTAGAACCAGTGTAAGGTTCATATGCTGCTTATTTGGCGGTGAAGGTGGACCACATACACAGACACCTCCAGTGCAGTTTTTACACTAATCGATGTCGGTGTTTTTGGATTTTTTACAATTTTCTATGAGCGATGGGATAGTAAGTCATACACCTCCAGGGTCCTTATTCTATGGAGGTGCTACATCGTCATCCGTCCCTCAACAAAAAATTGTAGATGCTCCTCATGATGATGATGATGAGAGTGAGGAGGAAGAACAAGTTATATGAATAAATCCTATCGACACAGATAGCCACCGCCTTACGAAACATATTCAAGACGCATGCATCGATAGAGTTGTTTAGTTTGTAATGTTTTTATTTAATTTTTTTGTTTACCAGCAATTGTAAAATTTTTATTTAATTATGAATTTTTTATTTATTTTGTTGTTAATGTTTTTATTATTTAATTGTTCGAATTGTATCGTCTGCATTTAATGTTTCTATTTAGTTGTTCTTATTGTTTGAATTGTATCGTTTTCTTGTATTTAGTTTGTAATGTTTTTATTTAATTTTCACTTGAGTAGCCCATTACTTGATGATTCTCAAATGAAATTAATTGAAAGTAAATAAAAATTAAATAACACAAACTTAGATTTCATAAACAACTATTACATCATCACAACATCAACGGTTACTTGATGACAAAAGAGGTGAACATTTTTCCTATTGTATCATAGGTTTATACAATGCCCACATATTTTGTTTTCTCTCGATGTCTCTCGAATATCCATATCACAATGAATCCGAGTGGATTTTGGACGACTAGGCTCCCTTAATAAGGATGGGTCTGGTACAATTGAAAGTTAATTCTAAACCTTATCAGGGTATTTCACATTACCTATGATGGGAACTCAAATTCATATACCTTAAATACTTCTGAAAGTCGGTATACGAGATCCACAAAAATGTTATAGTCTTGACAGGTATGAGAGCAATCTGCTATGACATGAAAGCATTGATACTTCAGAGCTTGAAAAAACCCACAGTCACACCACTTGTCTCGTAGATTAACTCTAAACGAGTTAGCTTGAATCCCTTGAATATGTCACGACATCTCTGTGATATGAAGTAATTCAAGGGTTCTATAGAAGACTATTACAGATATTCCATTTGATTCAGTAATTCTTTTTTTTATAGATCTACAACTAATTTTGGGTGATAGACATGACCGTTTGGCATCCATGTTTGAGCTTGTCCCCTGAGCTGGGAAAAAAGCACTCTTAAACAAAAATACATCGTTTTAACCAAAGTCGTTACTGGTAAATGGCGTGCCCCCTTTAAGTTCGAATTGATAGCCTCAGCCAAGTTGGTCATCATGTGTTCATATCGATATCCATCATCATATGCATTTGTCTAAATTTCTTTATTGATAAGGCTGGTGTAATTGTATCATTCTTCGTTATTTCCTCGCAAATCTTGTATCACAGACTTAAATGTTTTAGGTAATAGTTTGTAACTTTAGCTTCAAATGTAAAACTTACTATTAAGTTTCTATAAAAAAATGATTGAGAAATAGACTTAGACATTTTTACATACCCATGCACACAAGTAATTGTAACTCATTATTCTTCTTAAAATTTCTATGATAGTTAGCATCAATGTGTTAGATACAGTACCAATGTTGGATATAGGGTGGTTGCCACATTGGACCCAAATACTCCATTGTTGCTTTGATCACAGCTCTGCGATATGAAATGACACATATCTTCCCCTCGTGACAATATGTAAGCGTAAGTTTTTGAGGAAAAAACCCAAGAATCTATATATTATCCTTCAACAAGGGCAATACAATTGGAAGAATGTTGCAATTACCATCTTGGACAACTGTCAAAAGTAAAATTTTCTTGTATTTTCCATACAAGAATATCCCATCAATTTTCTTGTATTTTCCATACAAGAAAATTGGAAGGATGTTGCGATTATCATTTTGGACAACTGCGAATAGTAAAATTTTCTTGTATTTTCCATACAAGAATGTCTCATCAATTAGGACCACGGGCTTACAGTATTTCACAACATTCATGCATTATGGGTAAGTCCAAAAAGTAGGTAGAATTAACATCGATTATGAAGTACTCGATCATTATAGTATGTATGGTAAGTTTCGAAGTCGATAATTATCCCATGATTCAATCTGCGCACTACCCTAAACCAATTTGGTAGTTCATTGTAAGATGCATCACATTCGTCGTGAAGTTTTTAATGACATTCTGCTTTGCCTTCCATGCTTTCATATATGAGACATTATACTCATATTACGACTGTAGAGCTAAAATCAGCACCACAATAGTTATATGAGAGCTTGCTTTGACTATGGGCATGATGGCTTAGCAGATAATGTCGAAGTACAAGTTGGGATGATCTTGGTTGATCCCTCCATCACAACATGTGTGAGGAAAGTTGTATACTGTTAATTACTATATATTGTTTTTCCTCTTCCTCTTCGATACATGAAACATCCATTTGAATACGTTATCACGTTGGACACAATGACAAACATACTTTTTTGTGGTGGAACGGACGACTCTAGACTGAGCATAATTAAGAATGTTGTAATTCTTAATTGCCATCATCGCTTATTCTTTGGATGAAAACTCTATTCCTTTATATAACTCACCATCATTGACTGATAAGTTAAATCTGTAGTCATTAACATTAAGCATATCCATAAATTTCGGCACGTTCACTGTATCATAGTCAGCTTCATACATGTGTGCTGGAGGTTCAGTGTGTACCGTATTTTTAGGAACTTCATCTACATCATCATCATTGGAGTTCATGTTGAACTGCGATGATTCTGGCTGAATGAATAGTCCAGTCTCAGCACCATCTACATCTGGCTCACGAAGAGGTTCTTCTGGTGGAGATTAGGGTTCCTCCACGATGTCGACATTTAGGTCGAACAACCTGGTAGTTGAATGTATTCCCCTTGAACTTGAAGGCATCTCGACATTGATGTCGAAGAAGCTCACAGTTGAATGCCTCCCCTAGAACTTAAAGGCATCGTGTCAAATGGGTACTGCACAAATTGCTACGTTGAGGGCTTCTCCATATCCAGATCAAAGAAATTGGCATGTGAATGCCTTCCCCTTGAACTAAAAGCAATGTTGACATACAAATTGTTTGTGGAGATACCTCGGTACAGATTGTAAGAAGTTACTGATGAATGCCTCCCCATTGAACTTGATGGGATGGCACCATGATGTAGATTTCCCATTCAAGTGTTAAAATCATTACACATTACTTGAGTTGGGTTGTCAACTTGATCAACTTGTTGAGCCAGCCCATAGTGGGAGCATAATGACATATCATGAACCTCAGACACTTCAACAAATATTGCATATATCTGTGTATTGACGTTTGAATATTGATTTTGAGAATCAACCATCATAGCAACATCGTCATCATTGGAGAGTTCGAACGCTATATAAGTTAATGGAAATACTACAGTTGAAAATCTGTATTGAAGTGAGGACAATCTTTTAGTACTTCCAACATGAACCTTTTTTGAAATCTTAGTGATCATCTCCTCAAGAGTGATGTTTCTCTTTAAGGATATTCTGACAGAATGAATTGATGTGAAGACGATGCCAGTTTCATCTTCCCGAATTTCTCCATCATAGTAAATAATAGCTGAAATACGCGTCATTTTAAGACTTTGAAAGAACGAGTATTGTATCTGAAATACGACTAATTAAATAAATAATATATGAATTAAAATATAAACTAATTCAAAAAAAATTAAAATAATTCAAAATAATTTAAATAACACAATTTCATATTGTTACCTTATCGGTAAAACGTCCTGAGGTATGATCCATCTTTTCAACAACCATAAAAAATAATATAAAATAATTAGTACAATAAAATTTGTTCATGTAATTAAATATAAAATAAATATAATATAATCAAAAATAATTTTATCTTATAAAAATAATAACAAAATCTACTTAGCTTGATAGAAGAAATTGATAGAAATGAGAATAAGCAAGTAATTTTGGTGTGGTGATGTTTGCATTTAGAGGGGTTGTTATTTATAAGGGTGGGGGAGCGTTTAAAAGTCGAGTTTTCAGGCTCGAGTAATAATTGAATACCAATAATTCAACGTGCATAATGAGGTACGGATCATGATCCACTCATTTCATACGCGTCAGAACCTCGTGAAGGCGCGGATGGTGATTTGCGCTTCCCCTTACATGGTGCATGCTCAGACAAAACACCATTCGTGCCTTCCCCTTACATGGCGCCTTCTCGAACAGAACCCGCGAAGGCGCGGATGACGATCCACGCTTTATTGCCACCGTGTAAGAAAGGGTGTTAGATCGATAATATTTCGAGAAAAGATACCTGACATATAATTATTATGTGTAAGAGTGATATTTCGGTAAAAATACCTATCATGGCATGTCCACATGCTCAGACAAAACACCATTCGTGCCTTCCCCTTACATGGCGCCTTCTCGAACAGAACCCGCGAAGGCGCGGATGACGATCCACGCTTTATTGCCACCGTGTAAGAAAGGGTGTTAGATCGATAATATTTCGAGAAAAGATACCTGACATATAATTATTATGTGTAAGAGTGATATTTCGGTAAAAATACCTATCATGGCATGTCCATTAAGATATTTCCTATTTCTCTTTTATTTATTTAAAGAGAAAAAAACCCAATTGCCAATTCAAAAAAAAAAAACAAATTGAATATTATTACTCGTTTCTTGTCCTTTTCGTCGCTGTTTCCTCCTCCCGTTTTATCTTCTCATCCCTCCCCGTTTAATATCACCCTTCCTTTCTCATAATTCTTTCCTTCGTTTCATATTCTCTTTTTTCTTTCAAAATTCAAAGGTATTTTTATCTTTTTTATAGTTTTTTAAATTCTGTTTTGTTTTATATTTTTTTAGCTGTTTCTAAATTTCGATTTTCGATTGTTTGTGTGTTTAGATCTTGCAAATCTCTTTTCAAACGCAAATTAAAGGAAACTATTCAGTTCTTGAAGAAAAATACAAGATGGCGGAGGAGCATAGATGCCAAGCGCCGGAAGGCCACCGTCTTTGCGCTAATAACTGCGGTTTCGTAGGAAGTCCGGCCACGATGAACCTTTGCTCTAAATGTTACAGAGATTTCCGTCTTAAAGAACAACAACAAGCTTCTTCCGCTAAATCATCTATCTCTGCCTCTCCTTCGTCTTCATCAAAGGTCGTCGAATCCGTTTCTCAGGTACCTCTTCTGACTCTCCCTGAGGTAAAAGGAGTTTTGCCGGTTTCTGCTGTCGCAATTTCCCCGGTGGAGGAACAGAAGCAGCTGCAACAGCCAAATCGGTGCATGGTTTGCAGGAAACGGGTAGGGTTGACGGGGTTCAAGTGCAAGTGCGGGATTACGTTTTGCGGGTCTCACAGGTACCCGGAGATTCACGGATGTACGTTCGATTTCAAGAAGGCTGGGAGAGAGGAGATCGCACGCTCTAATCCTGTGGTCAAAGCAGAGAAGCTCGTGAAGGTATGAGAAGAAGATGGAACCGTTGGATCCTTTGACTTTTAATGAGAAACATAAGTAAAAATTGTCAAATTGGTTAAGATCACGACACATGTTAAGGTGGTGGTCCCTCACCTTTAAAAATTGGGATTCTTCAAGTTGATGATTTGGATTTGATGAAATGATTTTTTATTACACCTAATATTCGGCAAAATCACCTAAGTAATGAAGTAAGAAACAAGAATTTCTAAAATAAATATCGAACTTTATATTTTAGAGTGTTCTTTATAGTGGATCGGGGAATATGCATGGACCACCATATGTTTTTATGAAGATGCATGCAAGAATCAGAAAACATAAAGATGCATGGAAGACTCAATGTCTTTCCAACCTTCGCGCATAGCTTTTTGGGTGCGAAAATGGTGATGTTGTTGTCGGTGTTCTTCAGTTGGCAGAGGATGAACTTATCTGGGTCGTTATTGGAGCAAAAAAACATGGGAGCTAACGAGCATCGTTAATGGAGTTTGGAAAGACGAAGAAGATAAGTTAAAAAGATAATGCAAAAAAAAAAAATTTGTCTTCCGTGCATCTTCCATCGAAGACGTCTTGTCTTATGTAGTCTTTCCAAAGATAGCAGGTGATCCACACTAATTTCTATTGACACAATAACATTCACCCTGTTTGAAAAAATAAATTTTGCAACACTCCATATGAATAAATTCATTTGCCCACTTCATTATTGTTAGTTTTATCGATCAACCAATAAACGTCAAGAGGTGGTGAATTGATCTTTTAAAGAATTTGGTGGAAGCAATCAAAAAATAAAATTTTTGCACAACGTTTAGAGTGGTTCGACTTTTCAACTAAGTTTACATGCACTATCTTAGCATCCACACTAAGTATTTCTTTCTTACCTTTAGGGTGTGTTTGGTTTACGGAATGTAAGATTACCAGTGGGAATAAAAGATTACCAGGGAATAGGATTACTGGGAATGTTGTATTTTGTGTTTGGTTGGTTTAGCAGGAATGTAAGGTTACCGTGTTTGGTTAAAGGAATAAAAGATTATTGGAATGTATATTTGACCAAGTTGTCCTTATTATATATTTGTTTTTTTAACAAGTTTGAAAATATTTATATATTTTCTTTAAAAAAAATTAAATTCATAAAATTTATATAATTTTTTTTACAAAATTGAAAATATAAAAATGTTTAATAAAAGGGTAAAATTTTATTTTAAACCATTAACTTCATATAAAATTTTAATTATAGATTTTTTTTGTAAATCTAAAATAGTTTAAGGATAAATTTGTAATTTAACTTTCGTAGAATTTTTATTATTCAATGACATAATAAGAATATTTTTGAAAGAAAAAAATTAAGGGCGTTTTAGTCCAAAACGCTAGTAATCCAACAATACCTAAGGAAAGGGAGGTAATGACATTCCCGGTAATATACCCAAAAAAATCTACTATTGGTAATGTAAGATTACCGGGAATGATATTCCCGGCCAACCAAACGGGTGAATGTAGATTTCATTCCCATGGGAATCTCACATTCCCCCAACCAAACACACCCTTAAGGACAATGTGTAACCTTACAAACACTTTAATGTTTATATCCAAAATCCTTGAATACTCACTCTCCCAAAGAGTAATTTCACAAGGCAAATGTGTTTACAAGCAATAAGATCTCACTCAAATCACACTTGAGCAAATTAAACAATAAGGCTCACAAGTGTATTACAATGAAAAGATTGGGAATTTAAGCACAAAAACTCTTTTGATATTGGTAAATTCTTTCAATGATCTTTATTGTTGTTCTCTATTTGAATCTTGGTCTCTTTTATGTCTTCTAATACCCTTCTAGCCGTTTGGACCAGTTGGTGGTTGATTAGAGCCGCTGGAATAATTAACTTTGAGCACTAAATGCTCACCTGTAACATTGGTATCGAAATCATGAAAAGGGTATCGAGACAAGCAACTTAACGGTCAAAATTATAGCCGTTGAGGCCTTCGGTATTAATACTGTATAGTGAGTATCGATCCTCACCTATCGATATCGATACCAACACCATGGTATCTATACCAGAAAAGCAGTCTAAAAATGGGATATCGATACTCGCATGTTGGTTTCGGGATTGGGGAGGGTTTTTGGACAAAAACAAGTATTTTTTAGCTTTGAAAAATATGTATAGCTTGTTTAAAGACTCAATAACGCTTAAGATTATTTTCTACAATAAAAATTATTTGAAAATGTTCTATGACAAATTTTCATAGTTTTGTGAAAATGCAAATTTTAACAATAAAAATTAATTAATAATTCATGTTATATCAAAATCAAATATTGATTTAACAATACTAAGAAGTTTTCTCCTAATATTCATGTCATATTTAAAATAAATATTATTTCTAATACTTCATTCTTGAAATATAAGATTACGTGACACATTACTGAGAATGTTATATTATGCATAATGTTATTTGAGGCTTTCAAACTTTTATAAGAAAAACTAAAGTGATCATTGTATTGTTTTTACACTTAATGTGGTCTTCAACCTAAAAAAATCAATGTGACCCTATAACCGATAATTTACATCATTGTTCGTTGCAATGTTAATGTGGCAATTAACGATGCTAATGTGGTGGTCTATGATGCTAACGTGAAAATCTATAGTAACTGATGACATGAAAGATGTATACATGTAACGTATAGACACAAAATACTATTAAAAGTTATAGAAAATAAAAATATAACAAGTTATCAAATAATAGATTATTAATTATTAAAAAAAATAAAAATAGTATACATAATATATACATATAATATATAGACACAAAATTTAGGTCCAAAGCGACATTACTTATGCACCTCATTTCGTCTCTCTTTTCTCCACTATATGCATCTTTGGCATGTTTCGATAGACTAGGTAAAGGTGAGGATGGTTATTTTGGTTTTAAGAGAGGGTGATGATATTTTTTTTTCTTTTTTTTAGGGGGGAGTTGAGGATATTTTTGATTGGTTTCGACTGATTTTGTTGATTATGAAGTTTTTCAACTTTCACTGTACCAACTGTTGATAACAAGTTTATCTTGTCGGTTGTAAACGATTCACACTTTCTGATTTGAGCGGAGAACTGTAGTCGATGTTTGAAAGAATAACAAGAGATTGAGCCATCGTGTAGAAAAAGAAGGATTGGTTGTAGTAATGACCAGTTCATCATCCCTTTTTACAGTATTGATTGAGAGGCATATCTATTGATCTTTAATGTATGTGTCAGTTGTAAAGTCATTATAATTATTTTTAGGTTGATAGATTAGATATATTTAATAATTAAATTTTAAATTTTATTACAAAAAAATATGTGGGACTATTAGAGATCTTATACGAAGATTTATGTTTGTACTATATGTGGCTTGAGATTTTCTGTCCGAAAGAGCTAGGTAAAACGAATGAATCATCTTAAGATTCCAGGCTGGCGAAGGGATGGTAGTTTTGAGGGGTATGATAGTTATATATAACTAATATATGTTTCTAAATATTACATATATTATTTGTATTTTAAATATGTATATATTGTGTGTTTATATGTTTTATTTATATATGTATGTATTATTATTTATTGGTTTTATATAAATATATGTACAATTCTTAAATCGAGGTAATACCTTTGTGTGAGAGGGAACTATGAGATTGTTTTCTAAATTATGAGTGTGGTCTTAAGGATAGTTCGAATAAATATATACGCATTTTACCTATTCAAATAATTATTATTACTATTAATTTTAAAATTATTCACTTTATTATTTTAATTATCAATTATATGTAATTCCATTCATTACATGCATTTGATTTAGTTAATTGTTGTATTCATCCGAGTATCGGCTGTTATATAATAAGGTAATATTGTTTAATTTGAAAAATTAACGAGTACCTTAAATCGCGGGTGGCAATCTTCATTAATTTTCCGAATAAAAAGGATATTCTTCTCAAACACTGAATGAATTAAATCATGTTTTAAGGCAATTACTTTTCAAAAGTTCACTCTTTTAAAAATAAATGAAAGGGAATGACCATGGTTTAAATTCATATCTAAATTCACAATTCTAATTATTAAAGATAACATATAATCGATCAGGTATTAATTTCGAACATTGTGAGGCTGCTCATTCTTTTTCACGCGTAATTAACTCTCGAATCTTTTTCAAAATGAATTTTTGATTAAATGTAGATATGTTATGTCTTTTAAAAGGAATTTTCTTAAAACTTATTTAAAAAGATGATTTGTGGGTATTCAACTTGTCTAATTCAAAATATTCGATAATGACTAAAAAAGATTAAGGACTATTTCAACATTGATAATGTAAACTTAAGGAATTTTCTTAAAACTTATTTAAAAAGATGTGTTTTAGTATTCAACTTACCTAAATCAAAAAGTTGATAATGACGGTAAAAATTTTGATTTTTTTTTTAAATTGAGTTCTGTCCAAAAGCTTAAGGATTATTTCAACATTAATAATATAAGTGATCAAAACATGACCATTTAAATTTAGCAAGTAAAAATATACAACATTGAAAGAAAGAACCTAGAGTATATTTTCTTTTTTCTTTTTTCATTTGAAAATCAAAGAACTTCCAGTCTTTTGGGGTTCTGAAACGTCAACATTAGATATTGGGTTTAGGGTTCTTAGATCCATGGCGGATTTTGGTAATTTTGAACCTTTTGATTGATTAAAGTTTTGGGTTTTTAGGCCACGATTTTAAGGTCTAACGAGGGTTAAGTCCATGGTATTTGGGGTTTGCCTTAGGGGGTCACCGCTACGTGAGGGTAAGATCGCCATACCCATAACCTTACGTGGGGCGGATGAACTTGGATTCACGTGGTATCGGAGAGGTTTCGAATGATTCTATTATCTATAAATGATTAAATAATTAAATTTATTAAATTAAATTAAAATTAGAATTAGAATCAAATTGATAGAATATATAAATATTGAGGATAAAATATATAATTATGCTAATATTATTAATTGTCATGTCATCATTTCTTTTCTTATCCCTTTGATCCTGACAGAGAAAAGAGTATACAAGCACAAATTAACTTAA